GGGGGGAACTGGTTTATACTGGGAGGGACAGGGGTAAACTGGGAGGGACTGGGGGGGCTGAAAATGGAACTGGGATGGACTGGGAGAGATTTGGGGTCCGGTTTCCGACCTATTTTTGACAAATAAAAACCAGTACAAACCAGTACAGACCAGTACAAACCAGTAGAGACCAGTAGAGACCAGTACAAACCAGTACAAACCAGTACAGACCAGTACGGACTGGGAGGGCACTGGGGGTCACTAGGGGGTCACTGGGGGGCCACTGGGGTCATACTGGGAGCACTGGGAGGGCACTGGGAGCACTGGGGGAGGGGCACTGGCAAGATGGCGGCGCCCACTGCGCGCCCCGGAGCCGCACTGCGCCTGCGCGGATCCCGCCGCGACAAAATGGCGCCGTCACGTGACGCGCGCGGAGAAGATGGCGGGACCGGGGGGGCGGAGCCCGCCGCCAGCGCGCGCGGGAGAATCCGGCGGCCAATGGCAGCGCGGCGGCCGCGCAGGCGCAGTGCGCGGGCGCTCCCTCAGAGCGCAACCATAGAGAGGAGCGGGGCGGAGCGGCCCCGCCGGGGGTCATAGAGACGAGCGCGGCCTGAGCGGCTCCGGAGGCCTCCGGCGGCTCCTCCCGCCGCTCCTGCACCGGAGCAGCCCCGGGTGAGACCCCGGGGTGGGTTTGGGGCAGCGGGAACCGACCCCGTCCTTCCTCCCTCCCTCCCTCCCTCCCTCCCTCCCCTCAGCGGTTTTCCGGCGGCGCAATTTCGGCGTTGCCGCCCCCCCCTTTCGCGTCACTTCCGGCGGAAGCGGAGCGGGCAGCGGCGCGCGGGGCCGGGGCCGCGCGGGCAGGTCCGGGAGGGGCCGGTGGGGGGGGGGTCCCCAGTGACGTCACGGAGGGGAGGTGTGACGTCACGGGGGTGCCAGGGGATTGAGGGGCACTGGGAATGGACTGGGAATGGACTGGGAGCACTGGGAGCAACTACGAGCGCTCGAGGGAGAGGGAGGAGAGGCGCAGGGAGGACTGGAGTGACCGGTGAGGGACTGGGAGGGACTGGGAGGGACTGGGAATGGACTGGGAATGGATTGGAGTGACCAATGAGGGACTGGGAATGGAGTGGGACAGACTGGGAGTGGACTGGGAGCACTGGGAGGGACAATGGGGGCACTGGGAGGGACTGGGAATGGACTGGGACAGACTGGGAGTGGACTGGGAGCACTGGGAGGGACAGTGGGGGTACTGGGAGGGACTGGGACTGACTGGGAACGAACTGGGAGGGACTGGGGAAGGATGGGGGGCACTGGGGGGTTCCTCACTCCCAGTGTGTCCCAGTTTGTCCCAGTTTGTCCCAGTTTGTCCCAGCTGGGGGTCACTGGGGGGGGTCCCTCGCTCCCAGTTTGGGCACGAGGGGGTCACTGGGAGGTCCCTAATTCCCAGTTTGGCGCAGGGACTGGGAGCGGGGCCGCGAGCGCCGCAGCCGCGATTACCGGCACTGCCCCGCTCCCAGTTTGTCCCAGTTTGTCGCAGTTTGTCCCAGTTTGTCCCAGCTGAGGGTCACTGGGGGGGGCTGTGGTTCCCAGTTGGGGCACTGGGGGGTCCCTAATTCCCAGTTTCCCCCAGGGACTGGGAGCGGGGCCGCGAGCGCCGCAGCCGCGATTACCGGCACTGCCCCGCTCCCAGTGTGTCCCAGTTTGTCCCAGTTTGTCCCAGTTTGTCCCAGTTTGTCCCAGTTTATCCCAGCTGGGGGTCACTGGGGGGTCCCTCACTCCCAGTTTGTCCCAGTTGGGGCACTGGGGGGTCTCTAATTCCCAGTTTCCCCCAGGGACTGGGAGCGGGGCCGCGAGCGCCGCAGCCGCGATTACCGGGACTACGAGCGCAGCCGGCGGGAGCGATTCTCCCCGCCCAGGCACGAGCTGAGCCCGCCCCAGAAACGGCTGCGCAGGGACTGGTGAGAGAGCCCCAAATCCCTGGAATTCACCCCAAAAATATCCCAAATACACCCTGAAAATATCCTGAAAATATCCCCAAAATATCCGAAAAATATCTCAAAAATATTACAGAAATGTTCCCAAAACCGCCCCAGAAACGGCTGCGCGGGGACTGGTGAGAGAGCCCGAAATCCCTGGAATTCACCCCAAAAATATCCTAAACACGCCCCGAAAATATCCTGGAAATATCCTAAAAAACAGCCCTAAAATATCCCAAAAATATCGTAAAAATATCACAAAAATATCACAAAAACCGGCCCAGAAACGGCTGCGCAGGGACTGGTGAGAGAGCCCCAAATCCCTGGAATTCACCCCAAAAATATCCCCAACACACCCTGAAAATATCCTGAAAATATCTTAAAAAACAGCCCTAAAATATCGTAAAAATATCACAAAAACCGGCCCAGAAATGGCTGCGCAGGGACTGGTGAGAGAGCCCCAAATCCCTGGAATTCACCCCAAAAATATCCTAAACACGCCCCGAAAATATCCTGGAAATATCCTAAAAAACAGCCCTAAAATATCCCAAAAATATCGTAAAAATATCACAAAAATATCACAAAAACCGGCCCAGAAACGGCTGCGCAGGGACTGGTGAGAGAGCCCCAAATCCCTGGAATTCACCCCAAAAATATCCCCAACACACCCTGAAAATATCCTGAAAATATCCTAAAAAACAGCCCTAAAATACCCCAAAAATATAATAAAAATATCACAAAAACCATCCCAGAAACGGCTGCGCAGGGACTGGTGAGAGAGCCCGAAATCCCTGGAATTCACCCCAAAAATATCCCCAACACACCCCAAAAATGTCCTGAAAATATCCTAAAAAAACAGCCCTGAAATATCCCAAAAATATCATAAAAATATCACAAAAACCGTCCCAGAAACGGCGGCGCAGGGACTGGTGAGAGAGCCCAAAATTATACCAAATTCACCCCAAAAATACCTCGGAAATATCCCCAAACTATCCCAAAAATATCCCAGAAACATCCCAGAAACATCCCGAAAAGTACCCAAAAAATGCCCAAAAGTACCCAAAAAATATCCCAAAAGCATCCCAGAAATATCCCAAGAAATACCCCAAAAATACGGAAAAAAGTCCTAAAAATATAAAAAAATACCTGAAAAACATCCCAAAAATATCCAAAAATGCCCCAAAATATCCCAGAAAATATCCAAAAATATCCCAAAAATACCCAGCAGGGACTGGTGAGAGAGCCCGAAATCCCTGGAATTCACCCCAAAAATATCCCAAAAATAACCGAAAAATATTCTCAAAACATCCCCAAAATATCTTGGAAGTATCCATAAAACATCACAAAAACATCCCAGAAATGTCCCAGAAACGGCAGCGCAGGGAGTGGTGAGAGAGCCCAAAATTGTACCAAATTCACCCCAAAAATGCCTCAGAAATATCCCCAAACTATCCCAAAAAACCATCCCAAAAATACCCCAGAAACATCCCGAAAAGTACCCAAAAAATGCCCAAAAGTACCCAAAAAATATCCCAAAAGCATCCCAGAAATATCCCAAGAAATACCCCAAAAATACGGAAAAAAGTCCTAAAAATATAAAAAAATACCTGAAAAACATCCCAAAAATATCCAAAAATACCCCAAAAATACCCCAAGAGTATCCAAAAAATATCCCAAAAATACCTAAAAAATACTCAAGAAACATCCCAAAAATATCCCAAAAATATCCAAAAATACCCAAGAAATATTCCAAAAATATCCAGAAAATACCCAGAAAATATCCCAAAAATATCGAAAGAATACCCAAAAACATCCCAAAAAATATTGGAAAAATACTCAAAAAATTACCTGACAAATACCCCCAAAAAATCCCGAAAATATAAAAAAAATTTCCAAAAATATAAAAAAAAATTCAAAAAATAACCCAAAAATATCCTAAAAATTCCCTAAAAACACTCAAAAAATATCCAAAAAATGTTCCAAAAACATCCCAAAAACAACCCCAAAAAATACCCAACAACCATCCCAAAAATATCCAAAACATACCCAAAAAATACCCAAAAAATGCCCCAAAAATTTCCAAAAAATACCCCAAAAATTCTCAAAAATATCAAAAAAATACTCAAAAAATATTAAAAAAATTCCCAAAAATATCAAAAAAATACTCAAAAAAAAAATCCCAAAAATATCGAAAAAATCCTAAAAACATCCCAAAAATATCCCCAAAATATTCCAAAAAAACCCCCAAAATGTCCCCAACCCCCCCAGAAACGGCGGCGCAGGGACTGCCGAGAGACCCCAAAGCCCCCCAAAACTCCAACAGCCCCAAACGTGTGGGGGTGCAGCAGCAGCTCCTGCAGCACCAGCTGCTGTCCATCCAGGCCAGGTGAGCCAAAATCCCCTGAATTCACCCCAAAAATCACACTCGGGACTGCTGGAATTGCCCCAAAGTGCCCCGGAGCGACACCAGACCCCACGAGATCAACCCCAAAACCCGCAATGGTGACCCCAGACTCCACGATATCGACCCCAAATGTCGCGATAGTGACCCCAAACTCCACAATACTGACCCCAAATGTCGCGATAGTGACGACCCCGAAATGGGGTGGGGGGAATAGGGAGGGGGGAGAAATGGTGAAAAAGCGGTGGGAAAATGGCAAAAAATGGTGGAAAAAGGGGGAAATAGTGGTGAAGAAATGGTGGAAAATGGTGGAAAAAGTGGAGAAAAAATGGGGAAAAATGGGGAAACAATGGTGAGAAAACGAGGACATGGCTGGAGGACATGGCTGAAGAAATGGGGGTGTTGGTGAAAAAATGGTGGAAAAATGGGGAAACAATGGTAGAAAAATGGGGAAACAATAGGGGAAAAGTGGTGGAAAAATGGTGGAAAAATGGGGAAATAGTGGTGAAAAAATGGGAGTGTTTGTGGAAAAATGGGGAAACAATGGTGGAAAAACGGGGAAAAAGTGGTGAAAAATAGGGGAAAAAATGGGAGGCTGTTATACCCCAGCACTCTCAGGGATGGTTTTTGGGTGGATTTGGGGCAGTTTGGGTGGATTTGTGGCAGATTTGGGGTGGATTTTTGGGTTTAACATCTCTGTTACACCCCAGCACTCTCAGGGATGGTTTTGGGTGGATTTGGGGCAGTTTTGGGCTGGATTTTGTGCAGTTTTAGGGCAGATTTGGGGTGGATTTTCTGCCTCTCTCCAGGTTTAACACTTCCGTTGTACCCCAGCCCTCTCAGGGCTGGTTTTTGGGGCAGTTTTGGGGTGGATTTGTGGCGGTTTTGGGGCGGTTTTGGGTTCCATTTTCCGCCTCTCTCCACGTTTAACGTTTTTCTTCTCCCGCACTCTGTTTGGGGCAGTTTTGGGCTGGACTTTGGGGCAGTTTTGGGGTGGATTTGTGGCAGTTTTGGGGTGGATTTGTGGCAGTTTTGGGGTGGATTTGTGGCAGTTTTGGGGTGGATTTTTGGCAGTTTTGGGGTGGATTTGTGGCAGTTTTGGGTTGCATTTTCCGCCTCTCTCCACATTTAACGCTTTTCTTTTCCAGCAGCGCTCTCAGGGCTGGTTTTGGGGCAGTTTTGGGTGGGTTTCGGGGCGGATTTGGGTGGATTTGTGCAGCTTTAACGCTTCCCTTGTCCCGCAGCGTGTTTGGGGCAGTTTTGGGTGGGTTTCGGGGCGGATTTGGGTGGATTTGTGCAGCTTTAACACTTCCCTTCTCCCGCAGCGTGTTTGGGGCAGTTTTGGGTGGGTTTCGGGGCGGTTTTGGGTGGATTTGTGCAGCTTTAACGCTTCCCTTCTCCCCCAGCGCCCTCGGGAGCCGCGGAGCCGCCGGGCGGGGCAGGCAGAGAGGGCGGGGCCGCGCACAATGCGGCGAGGTCACAGTGCAGGACTTAGCCAGGGACCTTTGTTATTTTATTTTTTTATAATTTTTTTTTTGCGGGGGTCGGTTTTGAAAAATGCCCCCCCAAAAAAACCCCCCCCCCAAAAAAAAAAAAACAAAACAAAAAACCCAAAAAGCGCGGCGGAATTTGGGGTTTTTAAAAGCGCCGCAGTTTTCGGGGCCCGGCGGACGGCGACGCTCGCGGCGAGTTTAGGTATGACCCCCCCAAACCCCCCCACGGGACACCTGGAGCGCCCTCAAAAGAGCCCCGAGACCCCCCAGAAACGCCCCAAAACTGCTCCCAGGGACGCCCCAAAATCCCCCCGGAACCCGCCAAAAACGCTGCCGGGAATGCCCTCAGATCGCGTTAAAAATGGGGCAGAATGTGCTGGAAAAGGCCCCAAACCGGTGTGAAATCGGCCCAAAAAATCCTGGGAACAGCCAGGAATCTGCAGGCAGTGCTTGTTTAAAAACGGCCCCAAAAGCGCAAAAAAAAAAAGCTGAAAATGTGTTAAAACACCCCAAAAAGTGCAAAAAAAAAAGCTGAAAATGTGTTAAAACACGCCCAAAAAATGCAAAAAAAAAATCTCTGAAAATGTGTTAAAACACCCCCAAAACCACAAAAAAATAGCTGAAAATGTGTTAAAACACCCCAAAAGTGCAAAAAAATCCCTGAAAACGTTTCAAAATGCCCCAAAAAAGTACAAAAAACATCCTTAAAAGCATCCCTGAAAGTGTGTCAGAACACCCCCAAAAGTGCAAAAAACAGCCCCGAAAATGTGTTAAAACACCCCCAAAAGTGCAAAAAAAAATCGCTGAAAATGTGTTAAAACACCCCAAAAGTGCAAAAAAATCCCTGAAAATGTTTCAAAACGCCCCAAAAAAGTACAAAAAACACCCTTAAAAGCATCCCTCAAAATGTCTCAAAACATCCCCAAAAAATAGCCCAAAAATCATTCCTGAAAATGTTTCAAAGCATTCCCAAAAATGCAAAAAAGCCCCTAAAAACATCCCTGAAAATGCCTCAAAACACCCCAAAACACACCAAAAATGTGACAAAAAAAACCCTGAAATCACAAAAAAATCACATTCCCGAGAGCCAAAAAACTTCCCAAAAATTCCAGAAACCATCTCTGAAAACCTTGTCCAAAATATCTTTCAAACCAGTGCAGAACACCCCAAAAAAACCCCAAAACACCCCCAAAAGACCCTAAACACCCCAAAAACCCAAAAACACCCCCAAAAAACCTCAAAAACCACAAAAATCCCCCAAAACACCCCAAAAACACCAAAACACCCCCAAAAAACCTCAAAAACCACAAAAATCCCCCAAAAAACCCCCAAAAACATCCCAAAAAACCCCTAAAAACACCCCAAAAATGCCTCAAAACCCCAGAAAAGCCCCAAAACCTCAACCCCCTGTGTGGGGGCTCAGCTCTCCCCCAGACCCCATAAATTTGGGGTCTTCCCAATTTTCCCAGACCCCATAAATTAATCCCCCAAAAACTTCGAGCCACTCTCCCCAAATTAATCCCCCAAAAACTTCGAGCCACTCTCCCCAAATCAATCCCCCAAAAACTTCGAGCCCCTCTCCCCATTTTTCCTCCCAAAACCCCCAAATTAATCCCTCAAAAACTTTGACCCCTCCTCAAATTTATCCCCCAAAAAGTTTAGGCCCCTCTCCCCAAATTAATCCCCCAAAAACCTTGGGCCCTCCCTAAATTAATCCCCCAAAAACTTTGGGCCTCTCTCCCAAATGAATCCCCCAAAAACTTTTGTGCCCTCCCCAAATTAATCCCCCAAATTAATCCCCCAAAACTTCGAGCCCTCCCCAAATTGATCCCCCAAGAACTCTGCAGTTGGATAATGATTTTCCATCTACCTAAATGTAATCTCTTTGAACTGTCAGAACACCCCCAAAAGTGCAAAAAACAGCCCCGAAAATGTGTTAAAACACCCCCAAAACCACAAAAAAATAGCTGAAAATGTGTTAAAACACCCCAAAAGTGCAAAAAAATCCCTGAAAACGTTTCAAAATGCCCCAAAAAAGTACAAAAAACATCCTTAAAAGCATCCCTGAAAGTGTGTCAGAACACCCCCAAAAGTGCAAAAAACAGCCCCGAAAATGTGTTAAAACACCCCCAAAACCACAAAAAAATAGCTGAAAATGTGTTAAAACACGCCCAAAAAATGCAAAAAAAAAATCTCTGAAAATGTGTTAAAACACCCCCAAAACCACAAAAAAATAGCTGAAAATGTGTTAAAACACGCCCAAAAAATGCAAAAAAAAAATCTCTGAAAATGTGTTAAAACACCCCCAAAACCACAAAAAAATAGCTGAAAATGTGTTAAAACACGCCCAAAAAATGCAAAAAAAAAATCTCTGAAAATGTGTTAAAACACCCCCAAAACCACAAAAAAATAGCTGAAAATGTGTTAAAACACCCCAAAAGTGCAAAAAAATCCCTGAAAACGTTTCAAAATGCCCCAAAAAAGTACAAAAAACATCCTTAAAAGCATCCCTGAAAGTGTGTCAGAACACCCCCAAAAGTGCAAAAAACAGCCCCGAAAATGTGTTAAAACACCCCCAAAAGTGCAAAAAAAAATCGCTGAAAATGTGTTAAAACACCCCAAAAGTGCAAAAAAATCCCTGAAAATGTTTCAAAACGCCCCAAAAAAGTACAAAAAACACCCTTAAAAGCATCCCTCAAAATGTCTCAAAACATCCCCAAAAAATAGCCCAAAAATCATTCCTGAAAATGTTTCAAAGCATTCCCAAAAATGCAAAAAAGCCCCTAAAAACATCCCTGAAAATGCCTCAAAACACCCCAAAACACACCAAAAATGTGACAAAAAAAACCCTGAAATCACAAAAAAATCACATTCCCGAGAGCCAAAAAACTTCCCAAAAATTCCAGAAACCATCTCTGAAAACCTTGTCCAAAATATCTTTCAAACCAGTGCAGAACACCCCAAAAAAACCCCAAAACACCCCCAAAAGACCCTAAACACCCCAAAAACCCAAAAACACCCCCAAAAAACCTCAAAAACCACAAAAATCCCCCAAAAAACCCCCAAAAACATCCCAAAAACCCCCTAAAAACACCCCAAAAATGCCTCAAAACCCCAGAAAAGCCCCAAAACCTCAACCCCCTGTGTGGGGGCTCAGCTCTCCCCCAGACCCCATAAATTTGGGGTCTTCCCAATTTTCCCAGACCCCATAAATTAATCCCCCAAAAACTTCGAGCCACTCTCCCTAAATTAATCCCCCAAAAACTTCGAGCCACTCTCCCCAAATTAATCCCCCAAAAACTTCGAGCCACTCTCCCCAAATCAATCCCCCAAAAACTTCGAGCCCCTCTCCCCATTTTTCCTCCCAAAACCCCCAAATTAATCCCTCAAAAACTTTGACCCCTCCTCAAATTTATCCCCCAAAAAGTTTAGGCCCCTCTCCCCAAATTAATCCCCCAAAAACCTTGGGCCCTCCCTAAATTAATCCCCCAAAAACTTTGGGCCTCTCTCCCAAATGAATCCCCCAAAAACTTTTGTGCCCTCCCCAAATTAATCCCCCAAATTAATCCCCCAAAACTTCGAGCCCTCCCCAAATTGATCCCCCAAGAACTCTGCGCCCCTCTCCCCATTTTTCCCCCCAAAAACCCCAAATTAATCCCCCAAAAACTTTGAGTCCTCCCCAAAAAGTTCAGGCCCTCCCCAGATTGATCCCCCAAGAACTCTGCGCCCCCCTCCCCATTTTTCCCCCCCAAACCCCCTCCCCGACCCCTCTGTTTTCGGGGGCTCCCCTCCAGGACCGTGCGGGCCCGGGGGGGGTGCGGGGCCGGCGCTGAGCCCCGATCCGGGCGGTTCTGGCCCCGGTCCGCAGGTTCCGCTCCAAGTACCACCCCGACGAGGCCGGGCGGCGGCAGCAGGAGGCGCAGGCCGCCCTCAGGAACCGCCTGGGCGTCTTCCTCTACCTCTGGGAGCACGGCTGGTTCGACAACCTGCTGCTGGACATCGACCGCGCCCCGCAGATCATCAAGACCCTGGACGCGGGTAACCCCGAAATGCCGAGTTTTGGGTCTTTTGGGGGTGCTGGAGGAGCGGAAACGCCCCGGAAAATATCCCACAAGGGAGGGGAATTCCCCACAAGGAAAGGGAAAATGAGGGGAGAAAAGGAGGGAAAGTAGGGGAGAAGAAAGGAAATGTGAGGGGAGAAAGAGTAAAATGAGGGGAGAAAATCGCGGGAAAGCGTGGGGGGGGAAAATGGCGGGAAAGCGTGGGGGGAAGAAAAGGCGGGAAAACGTGAGGGGAGAAAATGGCAAGAAATGTGTGGGGAGAAAAAGGAAAATGAGGGGAGAAAGAGGAAAATGAGGGGGGAAAAAGGAAAGTGAGGGGAGAAGAAGGAGGGAAAGTAGGGGAGAAAAAAGGAAATGTGAGGGGAGAAAGAGGAAAGTGAGGGGAGAAAATGGCGGGAAAGCGTGAGGGGAGAAAATGGCGGGAAAATGTGAGGGAAAAAAAGGCGGGAAAACGTGAGGGGAGAAAATGGCAAGAAATGTGAGAAGAAAAAGGAAAATGAGAGGAGAAAGAGGAAAATGAGGGGAGAAAATGGCGGGAAAGCGTGAGGGGAGAAAATGGCGGGAAAATGTGAGGGAAAAAAAGGCGGGAAAACGTGAGGGGAGAAAATGGCAAGAAATGTGAGAAGAAAAAGGAAAATGAGAGGAGAAAGAGGAAAATGAGGGGAGAAAAGGAGGGAAAGTAGGGGAGAAAAAAGGAAATGTGAGGGGAGAAAGAGGAAAGTGAGGGGAGAAAATGGCGGGAAAGCGTGAGGGGAGAAAATGGCAGGAAAACATGAGGGGAGAAAATGGCAAGAAATGTGAGAAGAAAAAGGAAATTGAGGGGAGAAAAAGGAGGGAAAGTAGGGGGGAAAAAAGGGAAAATGCGGGGAGAAAATGGGGGGAAAGTGTGAGGGGAGAAAGAGGAAAATGAGGGGAGAAACAAGGGGAAAATCAGGAGAGAAAAAAGGGGAAAATGAGGGGAAAAACAAGGAAAATTAGGAGAGAAAAAGAGGAAGGTGAGGGGAGAAAAAGGAGGGAAAGTAGGGGAGAAAAAAGGGGAAATGAGAGGAGAAAATGGCGGGAAAGTGTGAGGGGAGAAAATGGCGGGAAGGTGTGAGGGGAGAAAGAGGAAAATGAGGGGAGAAAAAGCAGGGAAAGCAGGGGAGAAAAAAGGGAAAATGAGGGGAGAAAAAGGAGAGAAAGAGGGGAGAAAAAGAGGAAAGTGAGGGGAGAAAATGGTGGGAAAGTGTGAGGGGAGAAAGAGGAAAATGAGAGGAGAAAAAGGGAAAGTAGGGGAGAAAAAGAGGAAAGTGAGGGGAGAAAAAGGAAAGTGAGGGGAGAAAAAGGGAAAGTGTGAGGGAAGAAAAAGGAAAATGAGGGGAGAAAAAGGAAAATGAGGGGAGAAAATGGGAAAGTGAGGGGAGAAACAAGGGGAAAATGAGGAGAGAAAAAGAGGAAAGTGTGAGGGGAGAAAGAAGGTGAGAAACTGAGGGGAAAAAGAGGAAAGTGAGGGGAGAAAATGGTGGGAAAGTGTGAGGGGAGAAAGAGGAAAATGAGAGGAGAAAAAGGGAAAGTAGGGGAGAAAAAGAGGAAAATGAGGGGAGAAAAAGGAAAATGAGGGGAGAAAAAGGGAAAATGAGGGGAGAAAATGGGAAAGTGTGAGGGGAGAAACAAGGGGAAAATGAGGAGAGAAAAAGAGGAAAGTGTGAGGGGAGAAAGAAGGTGAGAAACTGAGGGGAGCAAAGGGAGGAAAAGTGTGAGGGAATGGTGTGGAGGGAGGTCATGAGGGGACACCCATTTTGGAGGTTTCCGACTCAATTGAAAATGTTTTTATTCCAATTTCAGGTGTTTTTAACTCATTTTGAAGTGGTTATTGCCTGGGTTTGGGTTCTTTTAAGCCAGTCTTTGAGGGTTTTTTCATCCAGTTTTGGGTTTTTTCCCCAGTTTTAATGTTTTTCCTCATTTGAAGCAACAGTTAACCCGAAGAGGAGAAGGAGTCCTCTCCTCAATTCCTAACCCCGTTTTCAGGAATTCCTGACTCATTTTCAGCCACGTTTACCCCATTTTTGGCTCATTTTAACCCAGTTTTTGGGTTTTTTTCCCTCAATTTTAATGTTTTTCCTGATTTCTAACAAAGATTTACAGGAAGAGGAGAAGGATTCTTCTCCTCAATTTCTAATCCTATTTTCATGAATTCCTGACTCATTTTCAGCCACATTTACCCCGTTTTTGGCCGTTTCTAACCCAGTTTTTGGCCGTTTCCCCCCGTTTTTCCAGCGGTGATTAAGATGGAGGGGGGCACGGAGCACGACCTGCGGATCCTGGAGCAGGAGGAGGAGGAGGAGCGGGCGGACAAGGCCGAAGGCCCCAAGAAAGAGGAGCCGAGACCCCCAGAGCCCCCCGGGAAGGGCCCCCCCGAGCGCCCCGAGGGCGACGACAGCGCCAAGGTTTGGGGTCCCCCAGGGGGTTTTGGGGTCCCTTGGGGTTTTTTAGGGTTTTTTGATTCCCAGGGGTTCTTTAGGGTGTTTTTTTGGGGTTCCCTGGGGGATTTTTAAGGTTTTTTTGATTCTCAGGGATTCTTTAAGGTGTATTTTTAGGGTTGCTTTGAGTCTCTGAGGTTCTTTGGGGTCTTTTTTGGCGTCCCCGAGGAGGTTTTGGGGTCCCTTGGGGGTTTTTGGGGTTCTTTTGATTCTCAGGGGTTCTTTAGGGTCACTTTGGGGTCTTTTTTGGGGTTCCCTGGGGGATTTTTAGGGCTGCTTTGAGTCTCTGAGGTTCTTTGGGGACTTTTTTGGGGTCCCCGAGGAGGTTTTGGGGTCCCTTGGGGGTTTTTGGGGTTCTTTTGATTCTCAGGGGTTCTTTAGGGTCACTTTGGGGTCTTTTTTGGGGTTCCCTGGGGGATTTTTAGGGCTGCTTTGAGTCTCTGAGGTTCTTTGGGGACTTTTTTGGGGTCCCCGAGGAGGTTTTGGGGTCCCTTGGGGGTTTTTGGGGTTCTTTTGATTCTCAGGGGTTCTTTAGGGTCACTTTGGGGTCTTTTTTGGGGTTCCCTGGGGGATTTTTAAGGATGTTTTGAGTCTTGGGGTTCTTTAGGGTTACTTTGGGATCTTTTTTGGGGTCCCCCGGGGGGTTTTTAGGGTTGTTTTGATTCTCAGAGGTTCTTTAGGGTCACTTTGGGGTCTTTTTTGGGGTCCCTGAGGGGGTTTTGGGGTCCTCTGGGATTTTTTAAGGTTGATTTGATTCTTTAGGGTCACTTTGGGGTCTTTTTTTGGGTCTCTTGGGGTTTTTTAGGGTTGTTTTAATTCTTGGGGGTTTTTTGGGGGGTCTCTTTTGGGGTTTCTTGTTCTTTGGGGTCCCCTCTGACCCCCCCCCTCCCCACAGGCCGAAGGGGCGGAGCCAGGGGCGGAGCCTGCAGCAGGGGCGGGGCCAGAGGAGGAGGAGGGGCCGGACAAGGGGCCCAAGGCCGAGGAAGGCGACAAGGAGGGCGGGGCCAAGGTCAGTGGACACGCCCCCAACTGGCCACACCCCACAAAGCTCCGCCCCCACAGTGACCACTGTGATGCTGATGAAGCCACACCCCTTTTCTGTTAGCCACACCCCTTTCTAACAAACCACACCCCTTTCTAACAAACCACACCCCTTTCTAACAAACCACACCCATTTTGTGTTAAGCCATGCCTCTTTTTAACAAACCCCACCCTTTTTCTGTTAGCCACACCCCTTTCTAAACAAACCCCACCCCTTTTCTGTTAGCCACACCCTTCTCTAACAAACCACACCCTTTCTAACAAGCCACACCCCTTTATGTTAAGCCACACCCCTTTATAACAAACCACACCCCTTTATAACCAACCATGCCCATTTTCAGTTAAGCCACACCCCTTTCTAACAAGCCACACCCCTTTATGTTAAGCCACACCCATTTATAACAAACCACACCCCTTTATAACCAACCATGCCCATTTTCAGTTAAGCCACACCCCTTTCTAACAAACCATGCCCCTTTCTAACAAACCACACCCATTTTGTGTTAGCCACACCCTTTTTTAACAAACCACACCCCTTTCTAACAAACCACACCCCTTTTCTGTTGACCACACCCCTTTGCTGTTAGCCACACCCCTTTATGATAAGACACACCCCTTTCTGACAAGCCACACCCCTTTTCTTTCAGCCACACCCCTTTCTGACAAACCCCACCTCTTTTCTTTCAGCCACACCCCTTTCCTAACAAACCCCACCCCTTTTCTTTCAGCCACACCCCTTTCTAACAAGCCACACCCCTTTCTGTTAGCCCCACCCCAAGAGCCCCTCCCCTTGCGAAGCCCCGCCCCTCCCCACAAGCCCCACCCCTTGGGTGGCCCCTCCCCTCATTAAGTCGCTTAAGCCCCGCCCCTTTCCCTGCAGGCGCGGCCGCGGCAGCGCAGCCGGGACAGCGAGGACGGGGACAGCGACAGCGGGGACAGCGAGGGGACACGCAGGGGACAGCCCCACAAGGATGGTGAGGGGACACTGGGGACATTGGGGTCATTGGGGACACGGGGACAGCGAGGACGGGGACAGCGACAGCGGGGACAGCGAGGGGACACGGAGGGGACAGCAGCCCCGGGACGGTGAGGGGACATTGGGGACAGTTAAAAACCCCAAAATCCCCCAAATCCCCCCAAAAATCCCCCCTGTGCCCCCCGAAAACCCCCAAATCCCCCAAATCCCCCAAACGCCGCTGTGCCCCCAGCTGTGCAAGCGCTACCCCGGGTTCATGCGCGTGGCGCTGTCGGAGCCGCAGCCCGAGCGGAGGTGAGGCCCTTTTGGGGCGAATTCGGGGGATTTTGGGGCTTTTGGGGTCACCTCGGGGTGTTTGGGGGGGCGTTGGGTGGGATTTTGGGTGGATTTTGGGTGGAATTTTGGGGTTTTTGGGGCTCACAGGAGGTTCCTCCCCTCAGGTTCTTCAGGAGGGGCTGGGTAGAATTTTGGGGATTTTTGGGTGGAATTGAGGTGAGGCCCTTTTGGGGCGAATTCGGGGGATTTTGGGGCTTTTGGGGTCACCTCGGGGTGTTCGGGGGGGGTTGGGTGGGATTTTGGGTGGATTTTGGGTGGAATTTTGGGGATTTCGGGGCTCACAGGAGGGTCCTCCCCTCAGGTTCTTCAGGAGGGGCTGGGGAGAATTTTGGGGATTTCGGGGCTCACAGGAGGGTCCTCCCCTCAGGTTCTTCAGGAGGGGCTGGGGAGAATTTTGGGGATTTCGGGGCTCACAGGAGGGTCCTCCCCTCAGGTTCTTCAGGAGGGGCTGGGGAGAATTTTGGGGATTTCGGGGCTCACAGGAGGGTCCTCCCCTCAGGTTCTTCAGGAGGGGCTGGGGAGAATTTTGGGGATTTCGGGGCTCACAGGAGGGTCCTCCCCTCAGGTTCTTCAGGAGGGGCTGGGGAGAATTTTGGGGATTTCGGGGCTCACAGGAGGTTCCTCCCCTCAGGTTCTTCAGGAGGGTCTGGATGAATTTTGGGTGGAATTTTGGGTGGATTTTGGGTGGAATTTTGGGGATTTTGGGGCTCACAGGAGGTTCCTCCCCTCAGGTTCTTCAGGAGGGGCTGGGTAGAATTTTGGGGATTTTTGGGTGGAATTTTGGGGATTTTTGGGGTGAATTTTGGGGCTTTTGGGGGGTTTGGGGTCACCTCAGGGCTTTCAGGAGGGTCTGGGTGGAATTTTGGGTGGAATTTTGGGGATTTTGGGGCTCACAGATGATTTTTTTCTCAGGTTTTTCAGGAGGGTCTGGGTGAATTTTGGGTGGAATTTTGGGTGGAATTTCGGGGATTTTGGGGCTCACAGAAGATTTTTCTCTCAGGTTCTTCAGGAGGGGCTGGGGTGGAATTTTGGGTGGAATTTCGGGGATTTTGGGGCTCACAGAAGATTTTTCTCTCAGGTTCTTCAGGAGGGGCTGGGGTGGAATTTTGGGTGGAATTTCGGGGATTTTGGGGCTCACAGAAGGTTCTTCCCCCCAGGTTCTTCAGGAGGGGCTGGGGTGGATTTTGAGTGGAATTTTGGGTGAATTTTGGGGTTTTTGGGGCTCACACTGGGTTCCTCCCCTCAGGTTCTTCAGGAGGGGCTGGGTAGAATTTTGGGGATTTTTGGGTGGAATTTTGGGGATTTTTGGGGTGAATTTTGGGGGGTTTGGGGGGTTTGGGGTCACCTCAGGGCTTTCAGGAGGGTCTGGGTGGAATTTTGGGTGGAATTTTGGGGATTTTGGGGCTCACAGATGATTTTTTTCTCAGGTTTTTCAGGAGGGTCTGGGTGAATTTTGGGTGGAATTTTGGGTGGAATTTTGAGGATTTTGGGGCTCACAGGAGATTTCCCCCCAGGTTTTTCAGGAGGGGCTGGGTGAATTTTGGATGGAATTTTGGGTTGAATTTCGGGGATTTTGGGGCTCACAGAAGATTTTCCCCCCAGGTTTTTCAGGAGGGGCTGGGTGAATTTTGGGTGGAATTTTGAGTGGAATTTGGGTGGAATTTTGGGGATTTTGGGCCTCACAGATGATTTTTCTCTCAGGTTTTTCAGGAGGGGCTGGGGTGGATTTTGAGTGGAATTTGGGTGGAATTTCGGGATTTTTGGGGCTCACACTGGGATTTTTCCTCTCTGGGATTTTTCCTCAGGTTTTTCAGGAGGGGCTGGGGTGGATTTTGGGTGGAATTTTGGGTGGAATTTGGGGGTTTTTGGGGCTCACACTGGGATTTTTCCTCTCTGATTTTTCGGGAGGGGCTGGGGTGGAATTTCGGGTGGAATTTCGGGGATTTTGGGCTCACAGAAGATTTTCCCCCCAGGTTTTTCAGGAGGGGCTGGGTGAATTTTGGATGGAATTTTGGGTTGAATTTCGGGGATTTTGGGGCTCACAGAAGATTTTCCCCCCAGGTTTTTCAGGAGGGGCTGGGTGAATTTTGGGTGGAATTTTGAGTGGAATTTGGGTGGAATTTTGGGGATTTTGGGCCTCACAGATGATTTTTCTCTCAGGTTTTTCAGGAGGGGCTGGGGTGGAATTTTGGGGTTTTTGGGGCTCACACTGGGATTTTTCCTCTCTGGGATTTTTCCTCAGGTTTTTCAGGAGGGGCTGGGGTGGATTTTGAGTGGAATTTGGGTGGAATTTCGGGATTTTTGGGGCTCACACTGGGATTTTTCCTCTCTGGTTTTTCGGGAGGGGCTGGGGTGGAATTTTGGGTGGAATTTGGGGGTTTTTGGGGCTCACACTGGGATTTTTCCTCTCTGGGATTTTTCCTCAGGTTTTTCAGGAATTTCGGGGATTTATTTTGGGTGGAATTTTGGGTGGAATTTGGGGGTTTTTGGGGCTCACACTGGGATTTTTCCTCTCTGATTTTTCGGGAGGGGCTGGGGTGGAATTTCGGGTGGAATTTCGGGGATTTTGGGCTCACAGAAGATTTTCCCCCCAGGTTTTTCAGGAGGGGCTGGGTGACCTTCGACCGCAGCGTGAACATCAAGGAGATCTGCTGGAGCCTGCAGAACATCCGCGTGCGTTTTGGGGCACATCGAGCCGATTGGAGGGATTTGGGGTGGTTTCGATGGTTTTTGGGGTGGTTTGGATGGATTTTGGGGTGGTTTCAAGGTGATTTTGATGTTTTTTTGGTTTCTGGCTTTAGGAGTGTGAGCTGAGCCCTGCTTTGACCCGGGCTGGGTTTTGGGGTGATTCTGACAGATTTTGGCTGATTTTGTTGGGTTTTTCAGTGATTTTGGTGGATTTTGATGTTTTTTTTGGGCTGATTTTGGTGTTTTTTGGGGTTCCCAGCTGCAGGAGTGCGAGCTGAGCCCGGTGTGAGCTGGGCTGGGTTTTGGGGTGATTCTGATGGATTTTGATGGGTTTTTTCGGTGATTCTGATGGATTTGATTGATTTTGATGAATTTTGATCGATTTTTGGGTTATTTTGATTTTTTTGGGGGTTATTTTGGTGTTTTTTGGGGTTCCCAGCTGCAGGAGTGCGAGCTGAGCTCGGTGTGAACTGGGCTGGGTTTTGGGCTGGTTTTGAGATATTTTGGTGGTTTTTTGGGTTATTTTGATGGTTTTTTGGGTGTTTTTGGGGTTGCCAGCTGCGGGAGTGCGAGCTGAGCTCGGTGTGAACTGGGCTGGGTTTTGGGCTGGTTTTGAGATATTTTGGTGGTTTTTTGGGTTATTTTGATGGTTTTTTGGGTGTTTTTGGGGTTGCCAGCTGCGGGAGTGTGAGCTGAGCCCGGGTGTGAACTGGGCTGGGTTTTGGGGTGGTTTTGGGGTGATTCTGATGGATTTTGGTGAATTTTGATGGGTTTTTTCGGTGATTCTGATGGATTTGATTGATTTTGATAGATTTTGATGAATTTTTGGGTAGTTTTGATGGTTTTTAGGTTATTTTGATGGGTTTTTTGGGTTATTTTGGTGTTTTTTGGGGTTCCCAGCTGCAGGAGTGCGAGCTGAGCCCGGGTGTGAACTGGGCTGGGTTTTGGGCTGGTTTTGGGATATTTTGGTGGTTTTTTGGGTTATTCTGATAGATTTTGATGGTTTTTTGGGTGTTTTTGGGGTGTTTTTGGGGTCCCCAGCTGCGGGAGTGCGAGCTGAGCGCGGGCGTGAACCGCGACCTGACGCGGCGCCTGCGCAACGTCTGGGGCTGGGTTTGGGGTTATTTTGGTGTTTTTTGGGTTGTTTTGATGGATTTTGGGCTGGTTTTGATGGATTTTGATGGATTTTTGGGTTATTTTGATGGTTTTTTGGGGTGTTTTTGGGTCCCCAGCTGCGGGAGTGCGAGCTGAGCCCGGGTGTGAACCGGGACCTGACGCGGCGCGTGCGCAACTTCTCGGGGCTATGATTTGGGCTGGTTTTGGGATATTTTGATGGTTTTTGGGTTATTTTGATGGTTTTTTGGGCTGATTTTGCTGTTTTTTGGGTTGTTTTGATGGGGTTTTTTGGTGTTTTCGGGGTCCCCAGCTGCGGGAGTGCGAGCTGAGCCCCGGCGTGAACCGGGACCTGACGCGGCGCGTGCGCAACGTCTCGGGGCTGGTTTTGGGCTGGTTTTGGTGTTTTTGGGATATTGTGATGGATTTTGGGTTATTTTGATGGATTTTGATGGATTTTTGGGTTATTTTGATGGTTTTTTGGGGTGTTTTGGGGTCCCCAGCTGCGGGAGTGAGAGCTGAGCCCGGGCGTGAACCGGGACCTGACGCGGCGCGGGCGCAACGTCTCGGGGCTGGGTTTTGGGCTGGTTTTGCTGGTTTTTGGGATACTTTGAAGGTTTTTTGGGATGTTTTTGCTGTTTTTTGGGTTGTTTTGATGGGGTTTTTGGGTGTTTTCGGGGTCCCCAGCTGCGGGAGTGCGAGCTGAGCCCCGGCGTGAACCGCGACCTGACGCGGCGCGTGCGCAACGGCTCGGGGCTGGTTTTGGGCTGGTTTTGCTGGATTTTGGGATACTTTGAAGGGTTTTTGGGATGTTTTTGCTGTTTTTTGGGTTGTTTTGATGGGGTTTTTGGGTGTTTTCGGGGTCCCCAGCTGCGGGAGTGCGAGCTGAGCCCCGGCGTGAACCGCGACCTGACGCGGCGCGTGCGCAACGTCTCGGGGCTGGTTTTGGGGCTATTTTGATGGATTTTTTTGGGGTGATTCTGATGATTTTTGGGGTCCCCAGCTGCGGGAGTGCGAGCTGAGCCCCGGCGTGAACCGCGACCTGACGCGGCGCGTGCGCAACGTCTCGGGGCTGACGCAGCACCGGCCCATCGTGCGCCACGACATCAAGCTGGCGGCGCGCCTGGTGCAGGCGCTGGACGCCCGCGCGCGCCTCTGGAGCCCCCCCGGTGCCACCACGGGGGACACGGCCGGGGACAGCGCCGGGGA